AAAAAAAAAAAAAACCTAAAATTGTGGGTTTTTGGAAATTCATATGAAAAGTGTTTTAAAAGTAAAAAGTATTGTATAAAATGAAGTGCCACTTTTTTATTAAAAAGTGACAGGCAATTTTATTTTCATCAAAAAGTAATGTTTATCACTCAAAAGTGACGGAAATTTTAAGAAAATGATATTAAAAAAATGTAAAAAATGCTGTGTAAAATTAAGTGATACACTGTCACTTTTTTATTAAAAAGTGAAATGTTTGTTACCTAAAAAAGTGAGAGAAAATAAAAATGACACTAAAAAAAGTGAGAGGAATTCAAAAAAAGAAATACATTCAAAATAAATAAAAAATGTGAAAAAAATATTTTTCTCTCATTTCAAAGCATGAAAACAGGATGAGAAACACTAATTAATAGACGGTTGAAAAATATTTTTAAAAGTAAAAAATATTGTGTAAAGTAAAGTGGGACTTTTTAATTAAAAAGTGATAATTTTCATTTTTTTTGAAATTAAAAAAAGTAACAAAAAAATGACAAATGCTAAAAAAATTGATAGAAATTCAAAAAAGTGACAAATTAAAAAAGTGACGAACACTCAAAAAAGTTAAAAACACCAATCAAAATCTAAAAATAGATACATGGCGGTTGTACATGTTGTCCATATGTAATTAAACAAATGACATAACTTCATCTCAGGAACAAAGTGACAAAAATTCAAAAAAGTTACGAAATTCAATAATGTGACAAATGACGTTCGTATCAATAATTCAAAACCACCATACTGTCTACACATAAATCATCACATATAGTCATGTATGAAATTATGTATTCAATAGAGTAATAATCAATCTCATATGTGAATAATCACATGATCAGCTTATATATATTCTAATCATACACAGATTAGCCAAAAGCTATTCATATAGTATCACTAACATAAACTAGTAATCAGTTGGTTTCTTGGTGATTAAATGATAAATATTGATGAATTAGCCAAAACGAACTCAAACAAGCTACTAGAAAATGGAGTTTTGGAGCAATGTTCCTTTGTCAATCTAAATCCATCGATTACTTCATATTACATTTGTATGCTCAAACAACAAACATGGCTCAAATTCATGGATTCTGCAGCATCTCAAATACAATTCTCTTTTTCTCTGACTTTCACCTATAGTCATTCTTTGATTTCGACTGTGACCCCACACATTTCTCTTTACAAAATTCCTTCACCTCCTCAATTTTCAACATTCATTCACAACTTTTCTTCTCTACAAACCCCAATTTTCTCTCCAATTTCCAACCAAAATTCAATCATAACTGTTAGAAAGCAAAAATCCAATTTTCTTCTCTTTTTTTATTCTTAGTAATTTAT